GTTGACCCTTTCGATTGCCATGGCCAATGTTTCGTGAAATTTTGGAGGAAGTCTACTAACAGCAGCTATGGCATACAAGACGTTGGTAAAAGCTAGATTGAGGGTGATTCGCAGAGATTCGGACAGGAGTCTAATGGTTCGTAAATTGGCGCCAAGTAATGGAGCCCAAGAAGAACCTAGCGAGGAGCAATACAAGTGAATATCAGCTGATGCAGGTTTCAACTCGACCTAGTTCAAAATTTGAAGCTTACCATGCCAAGTCCATTTTTTCGCCCATGCATCCATCACTTTATTGTGATGTTCGCCCAATTCGATGAGCTGCTCGCTGGTCAAGTTGCGGCTTCGGTCATCGGCTACAGATAAGAAGGAGTTGGCTGCCGCCCAAATCTCGGCCAACTCGGCAAGCGATTCGATCTGGGCGGCACTAACAACGTCATACTGCGAAGGAGAGCCGTTGGAAAGCTTGACGATTGTAAAACTCGGTTCTCGTTCGGTGGCCACGTGTAGAGGGGGGAAATAGTCACGACTCGGCTCTAATCGAAGGTTTGAGCTCAGACTGGCCAAATGGATTTCAGTTAGAATCCACTGGCATATGATAGATGAGCGTAGACGGAGAGCTCACATTGTTTCGATGGCTTGCAACGCATGATCAGTCTTGATCGCATCTAACTGCACGCGGCGCGTTTCATGAAGCTCGGGGTTATTCCAAATGTCACTGGACCCCCGCAGTTCAGATGTACAGCGGTCTAAGCCGATCGAACGGCCAATGCGACCTGCATGGCCAATGAGCACCCATCGGTTGGGAGCCCCGTTGGGATCCTCATTAGACACCAGGGCCCAACAGGCTAAGAAGAGTATCGCTCTGACGTCCTCTAAGCTGTGAGTAGCTTTGAGAAGCGTGTTAGATAGGTGTTGGTGGGCGAGGGTGACCAAACGAGCATATGTCGCCTCGTCAATTGTTACCTGGGAAAGATCAACTCTAGCTCCTGTTGAGTTGGACATCAAGCAGTTCTTGGGGGGTATGTGAGCAACAGATTGGGAAGAGCAAAACCGAGCCCCAATAGCCACCATGACGCTGAATAAAAAGGAAGATCGACCTCGAATTGAAGCTATTTGAACTGCATGAAGGATGGGTAGGCTGGGCAGGCAAAACTCTACGAAACTGCGATGGTAGAGTCCAGTTAGTCTCAGCTCTGAAGATCTGTAAGATCAATACCAAACTCACACATCGTACAAATACTGCAACTGCATAGCAGACAGGATGCCTTCTGATAGGGGATCCCCAAGTCCAGAAGTGGCGCAAGGGGCGCCCAATCTGTTAGGGTCATTGGGTTGGTCTTTCTCAGGACCAAAAGTCGAAGAAGAACCCGACACCACCAAAGTTGGGGGCGTGGGTGGCGAAAGGGGAGGTCGAGGCTCAGCCGCAGGTGGGAGAAAACTGGGGTTGGTGGACTGGTGGGCTCGGAGAACTTGAAGCAGTCCGGAAACGCTATTTTCTAGCGCAGCCAGGCGAACATGGAGACCGTTTGGATGGGACAAATTTGGCTCGTAGCTGGCATAAGCTTCGGGAGGTTGGGGAGTAGAGATAGGGGTTGACTTGTTGCCTTGCTTGGGTGGCGCCGCCGAAAATGAACCGGGTTGGTGTGCGATCGGGGCAGAGAGTGTGGGCAACGAGGGAGCTGAAAGTTGAGTCACCTGGGGCAACGCCATGGGTAGCATGGGGGCGGTGGGGGCAGACTGCGAGACGGCGCCTGGGTTTGAAGCCGGTGGGAATTTACGGCCGGCCTTAGGGCCGGAGCGGGACCGGGGCTTTCCGGCCGGCGCGGTCTCCCCCTTACTCATAGCATGAGCGTTACGTGCTGAGGCCTGCTGGGAGCTCGAGGCCAGGGGGGACCGGTAGATTAGGTCCCGGTCGAACTGGCATGCAACTTTGTGGGCCGCGCACCGATCACACGGATGACCACCGGAGCAGCGCGTCTGTGAGAGTGAGAAGAAAGAATATTTCAGCAACCGATAAATCGGTGGATAGCTTTCAAGGCGTGCGGCATACCTTGAGTCGATGACAGCTGTTACAAGCCGAGCCGGCAGGTTTTTTCTTGGCCCGCACGGGACCAATGTTGGAATTCTTTGGGGCCACCTCCTGGGGAGGCCTGCCATCTAGCTTAGGTATCGAAGAAGACTGAGGTAGCTCGGAAGCGGCTTGATGGACGGAGCTCTGGTTGGATTGCGGGTGGCTGGCCATGGACGGATGAGATTTAAAGAAGTGGGGGGCGTGGCCGGGTGGAGAACCGGATTGCTGATGGTCTTCAGACTCATAGTCTGGCGAGTGGGACGAAAGCGGCCGATCATGAACAGGCGTGAATGAGGGACCAGGGTGGTCCTTGCGCATGTTGGCGGCGGGGGAAGGTTGCTCGGCGTAGCCAGACTTGGGGATAGGATACTGAGGATGGAGGCCGGTCGCCGAAGATGACGGCCGGAACGAGCCTTCCAACATGATCTAACAGGATTGGTACGAATAGTAGAATGTACTCAAGGAAATCAGGGCCGGATGGCAGAACACCGTTACGATAGAACAAACTTGATTGGACGGCGAGTTAAAAAAAACTTCAACAACAATTTTTCAATATCTACTTGAAATGGTGATAGATATGCCGGATGAGGGGCCGGCAAGGTAAATGTTATGAGGGAAATGTGTTGAGGGCCCGCAGTGCGAAAAGATCAAGAGGGCAGGATGGTGGTGCCTGGGATGA